AAATTTCATATAAATCAGAACTACCTCATCTAAACTGAGTCATGAACCATGGATCAACTAAGAAAGCCATTCATTTACCTATCCCAATGATATAAATTCTACCAAAAAAAAATTCCAGATGTAGAACGATTTCACCCCGGTCGGACCTCACTATATCGAAGTGATGTTTCTCGTATGCAAAAGAAATTGGAACCTCTTGCTCGAATGAGTCCACCTCAAGCTCAATGAATCCCCATCCAGGTAGGACCAAGTCCGAACCTACCTCACTATACCGATGTGTAATCCTCAGTATGAGGAAGAAATGGGTGACTTCCTGCACGAAGGAGTCTACATCAAGAAGAATGAAACTTTAGAAGAATTGGAACGTTATTAATGGACTAGATACACAATGATCACTTTCTCCAATAAGGTAAACAACCTAGCCCCATTCAAAACACGCTTACTAAAGAAACGGATGATGAGCATGACCTAAGCCACGTAAGGAAACGAATAGCTATGAATGTTAGGTTAACCCTGCCAGTAACATGTTAGCTCGACCTAAGATAGGTCAACTCTGCCTATGACAGATCTTCACAATAGGAGACGAAGAACAAAGGTAGTTCGAAGAGCTACACAAGGGTTGGCTCCTAGCTCGACCTATGACAGGTTAGCTCTCCATGTTATATCAGCTCGGCCTATCAAAGCTCCCCATGTTAGGAAATGAAGAATAGAGGTGGTTCGAAGAGCTACCACAAAGGTTGGCCAAGATTTTGATAGACTTGGCCACAACCATCCCAACTCCATTCGTGGGCTCTAAAGCTAAGATCATGCCCAATGAATGATTGATGACCACAAAACAAAGACGAAGTCAATCACTACAAACTCACCTCAACAAGCTCAATACTTTAGCTCAGCCTATGATAGATCAGCTCTCCATGTTAGGTGACGAAGAACGGAGATGGTTCAAAGAGCTCAACATTTTAGCTCAGCCAAAGAAAATGAGGTCAGCCACCAACAGCACCATCATTTAAATACGATCGTAGAAGGGATCTTTGTGCAAGTAGGGGTAAGAAGGTCTTTCGTAGACTCCTTCCCTTAAGAAAGGACTTAATAGGTCTCAACCAATGTAAGTAATACCGGCACTATAGGTTGGCAAGTCACCACACTAAAGAATTTTGGGACCACAAAAATCGAGTGAAAGTCTTAAAGTGGCCCTGGTCAACTCCATGAATTTTATGGCTAAACTCGAGGAGGCGATTTAGATATCTCTAAACCTCGGTCCACTAGATCCCAAAGGTAAGGATATGCAACAGACGGCTCAACTAGTGAACGAGCCAAATAAAATTTAGGTCAGCTCGGAACTCATCCACCTAAACTTAGATGTGTTTACTTGGAGTCGCAAAACTTATGGAAGGAGTCAATCTGAAAACCATTAGCTAAAATATCGACCCCTCAGCTCGACCAATGTAGTAAAAGAAGAGGCCACTTAACCAAAAGATGATAAAAATCAAGCTAAACTGTAATATACAAATCCCTGCTTGCAATATCCTCCTGGAGCAAGACCTAGCTCATATTTTCACATTCTGGGGACGAGCCCAATCTCGTGGTTTTGTTACAATTGAAAATGAACCCTAGCCCATGACATCTCATTGAGGCGAGTCCGTAAGACCTCTCAACGACGAAGCTAACTTGTAAGACCTCATTTCATTGAGAGGACTCCATAAGACCCCACGAACCTTGTTCCCACTCTTCAGCTGCTGAGCTAAGGAATTCTTCAAAGCCCTGCTCTATACACAGGCTTAGCTAAGGTCGTAAGTGCTGTGACACTTAGACGAAATTCCTCCTACGGAATTCTTCAAAGCCCTACTCTATACGTAGACCTAGCTAAGATCGTAAGTGCTATGACACTTAGACAAAATTCTTTCTAAGGAATTCTTCAAAGCCCTACTCCATATGCAGGTTGAGCTAAGGTCGTAAGTGCTGTGACACTTAGAAAAAATTTCTCCTAAGGAATTCTTCAAAGCCCTGCTCCATACGCAGGCTGAGCTAAGGTCATAAGTGCTGCGACACTTAGACAAAAAATTTTCTAATGAATTCTTCAAAGCCTTGCTCCATATATAGGCTAAGCTAAGGTCATAAGTGCTACGATACTTAGATGAAATTTCTCCTAAGGAATTCTTCAAAGCCCTACTCCATACGCAGGTCAAGCTAAGGTCGTAAGTACTGCGACACTAGATGAAATTCCTCCTAAGGAATTCTTTAAAGCCTTGCTCTATACTCCATACGTAAATCAAGCTAAGGTCGTAAGTGCTGCAACACTTAAACAAAATTCCTCATAAGGAAAAAAATTTCAAAGTCCTGCTCCATACACAGGCCGAAATTCCTCCTAAGAAATTCTGTAAAAACCTTGCTCCTCAGCAGTACAATCTAAGGCTATAAGTGCTACAACACTTAGACAAAAGCTCGCTCTTCAGCGGCACAAACCTTGCTCTTCAGTAGTACAAGCTAAGGTTGTAAGTACTGGAACACTCTGACAAAAGCCTGATTTTCAACAGTACAAAACCCTACTCTTCACAGTCCTCTCCCTAGCTTCCTTATGTGTTCAAATAAGTGCCATTCAAATGAAATAGAAGAAGCCAAATGGCTAGACAAAAATGAACTCGGAGACTGCAGACTTCTCCTTAAATTGGAAAAGTGATTCTGTAACAAAGTTTGACTTAGAAAAGGCTAGATTCGCTAACTTGACCTCATTCTTGAACCAACTCGTGTTTGACTGACTTTCTAAAAAGTAGGATCGTGCTTACTCCAAGCTGGAAAATAGAGGTCAAAACTTTACAGAAGTAAATGTCCAGACCTTGGAAGCATCTGTTGACGTTCAAAAAATCAGCTCGGGCATATTTTAATCTAAGAAGAAAAGCTTTTGAATATTCAATACTCACTTCGAGGATGATGGGCTAAACGGTCACCGGGTCAATCATGGAGGTCAGCTTTATCCATGAGCTCCACCGAGGTAGGTCGGCTCATCTCAAGGTCAGCTCTACCGAGGCAGCTCAGCTCATCTCGAGGTCAACTCTATCGAGGCAAGTCAGCTCATCTCGATATTAGCTCTACACATGAGCTCTACTAAGTTAGGTCGGCATCGACTCAACTCTATGCATGAGCTCCACCATGGCAGCTCAGCTCGAACCATAGTCATGCAAAAACATCATCATTGCAATTCTAGACACGTGTCTCTTAAATGATGTCATAACCACCCGGACGACCATTCCCAAAGCAACAAGTGGAACCTATGACATCAACACCTCATTTTCAGCCAATAAGAAATCAGCAATGATTACTAGGTGCCAGATAATCATGACCCAGGTCATGGTGACTTGTTCGACCGACCTCTATAGCTAATCAGCATCCTTGAATTTAGGATATGGCACACACTTCTATGTCGGTACTATAGTTGATGTGACGTGGTAGGGCCAAGTTGCTTGATTAGAGGCCTATAAATAGAGGCCAATGGTATTCCTCAAGGGGAAGACTTCTAACATCCCTTATTTGCTTCAATCAATGTAAGCATTCTTATTCTCTCACTATCCATGTAGCCAAAATTACTCACTAGCTCGACCTCATCATGAGCCGTTCATACCAATCTCAAAGAGCCAATCAATAGTCAATAAAAGCATTGTAGATATCTTATTTTTGGAGGTCGATTGGCTGTTTTGGGAACCTATAAACATGACTAAATGGTTGCCCAATGGGAGGAGGGAAGAACATACAATACAGATTCTACAAGCTTTCTCTTCAAAATTTCTCTATTTTTCTACTATTTCATCATTTTTATCTCTATCAAATCACCTATTAAGTTGGCTCAAAATTAGTCTTTGACATCAACAAAGTGAATCAATGCAAATTACATGTAAAAATTAACCAATGATATTAGAAATATTGTTGGTCATGAAATAACACTAAAAAAATAATTTATCTTGCATTAATATTACAAAAAGATATGTTAAGTTGATCGATGTAAACTAATATCTTTGAAAAACATCTAAATGACTAAATCGATAAATATGATCGAATGGATATTTTAAAAATTAAGATTATTTTTTGGTAGAGATTTGCAAGATACTATGATCTGGAGCTACATCAGTGGACGTAAAAAACAATAATATTCTTGAATAGGAAATCTTCAAGAAGAAGCATTCATGAAACAACTTCAAAGATTTACTAGTGATACAAGTAGTCAAGTGATTTGCAAATTAATGAAATTTATATATGGGCTAAACTAGGCTTTTCGTTAATGATGTTTGAAGTTTTACAATATTGTTATTTTATAAGGTTTAACAAAAAGTATCATTAACAGTACATATATCTTAAAGTCAATGGGAGCAAATGCATTTTTCTAGTCCTACATGTAGATGACATTTTACTTGCGAGTAGTAACTTGGATTTGCTATATGATATAAAGAGTTTCTTAGCAAGAACTTTGAAACAAAGGATAGTAATTCCAAGTAAATTGTCCTACCTAGGCACGTGTACAACCATCCTTTGGAGAGATTTGATTGGTTGAAGAGTTCAGCTACGACAGGATTATTATGATACGTAAACCATAGTCGTACACCTAAGATCATAGTGACTTTTCTTTGATTGATTGTCACAGGTGGTGTTGCCACCCAAAGGAAAACACTTTTCAATGGTGTTATAATATATATTTCAGATGACATTTTTCAAGGGTTGAACCATACAGTTGGGGCTTTGGATCGATTTTTTGTGCTGTCATATTTGACTTGACAAAATGCTCATTTGGCAAGGTTGAGGTGGATTCTCAAGTGATCTGACGTGAATTTTCATGTAGACACCAACATGTTTGAAATTCTCTCAAATTATTATAATCTGATTTAAAATAGTCCATAAATTACTCAAACTGAAGCGTGTTCACAGAAGTGACATGAAGTGAAAAGGCCGTAAGGCGTGAAGCATCTTTGCACTACTAGTCTACAAGCCAGAAGTCGCTAGTTTATGTTGCAATCCAATATCACGACATTATCCATACACAAGAACCGAAAATTTGTAGGGCTTTCGTCCCCAAAAACAAAACTTTCTTTCTTCAATCTCTGTCTCTCTTGTAGACAGGAGAGGAAGAAGCAATGGAGAACCAACAACCGCTACCGCCACTGCTGCAGAGCCAATCACAAGCGAAGAATGAGGATGCCGCCGAGAAGAAGAAGAACAGGAGGAAACTACCAACCCCCAGTGAGCTTGTGGCGCATTACGAGAAGCAGGGCATGGACACTCAAGAAGCCTCTTTCAAAGTCATTCAAGATTTGCAGAATGCCGTTTTCAGAATGATCACCACCACCCAAAGCAAGAAAAAGGGTGACTCTGCTTCAGATATTACCTCCAAAAAGCTCGACGTCATCCACTCCCGGCTGCTTCAACTGGAATCGAAACTGGACTCCAAACCGGGGTATCCACAGGCCGTAGGCATTGGCGTGGCGTCCGCCGGAATTTGGCATGCTGCCGTCCAAATTTGGAATTCTGTTTCCCAGGCTACTTCGTCTTCTTCCAATGCCTGATTAACTAACATCTGCATTTATCGATTGGCCTTTACTTTTTTGTCTAGTCTCCTTAGAATATCTGCATACTCCTTAGTTCCTTGATGTTCCTTTGTTGTTTCTTTCGGTTGAGTTTCAATCACCCAATTTTTGTACTTCGAATTGCTAGTATCATAACTCATCAATTGAAATACGAGTAAAACTTGTGTCATTGGCTTTTTTGCCCATCATATTACTATTGTGGTGTTTCATTATCTTTTTGCTCTATGTTTTGGCCACCATCCTCAGCCTCTCGTTTTTGAAGTTAAGTCCAGAACTAGAAGAGAGGACAATAATGCTAACCGTTCTGATATTGGTTATAAGCCGCATAAACTGCTTATTCTTTTGTTTATTTGTTTCTTTAATACTGAATTTGAATCTCGTGTGAAAGGAAAGGGTTCCTGCAATTAAGATTATTATCAAGGAAGGAAGTTATACAACACAGGAGAAGTGTTTTGCATTTTTCATTAGCGAAAATGGGCAATAAGGAGTATGTTTAAGAACTCTCATTTACACCAATTCTTCTTGTTCCAGAAATAGGGAGAAAATGTACTGTAGTTCTATATGTCGCGTATTGAGTACTTGTTTTAAAGTGAAGTTTCAATTGATGCTTCTTTATTCTTTTGATTTTGTTGTTTAATCAACTTTATTTCTCCAGATTGATGTAGTTCTACATGTTGTTTATATCTTCTGGTTAATTTTCTGTATCATCTGTCCTAATGATGTCTCAAACATCGGAAGTGTAGTTCGTTTCTTGTCTTCTCAGGTTGAAGGAAGAAGAAATACCAAGGTTATGCATGTTTCACTCAAACACGCACATTTATGTTCAGGTGATTGATGAATACAAAGCTGCATACTCTTACTTCATACTCAACTATGTAAATACGCACCACGAAAGAATTTTTCTACAGCTCAGGTTCAACTCTTTCAAGTTGAATGAATAAAAATTGCAGAATTTATGTTAGTACTTGTGTAGAAATGCCTACAAATGCACACACGGCATTTTCACATTATTTTTACTCTTGATGGTAAAAATGATTATGTTTCAGAATTCTAATTAGTCCGCAACAGATTTTTTAACCCTTGCTGTTAAATACTCGTACAGTGCTAAATTTCATGAAATGCTGATACTTTTGATGAATTTAAGTTCAGTTCTTAACTATATAGCATTGGAGTAGTCTTTCAAGTCTATAATCTTTGTAATGTCTCTCCAATTTGCCTGCAGTCCTGCAAAGTTTTGACTTTTGACCAAATATGGAATAAGTCATATGACCTGAAAAAGACTAATTTAACATGGTTTCAATAACAGCAGCATTTTTGCAATGAATCAAAATTCAATTAACATCAAAGTTGAGCTCAAGGTTAATGGCATTTCCCTTTGCAATTTGGTGCATCAGTCTAGCATTATTTTCTATTAGTTATAGACACTTTGAAGTTTACCACATTATCCTCATCGTGTCTCTGCTCTGTCATCTACTTATATCTACAGTCTTTGGATACTTATTTATTGCATTATCCTCATTATTTTTCTCTGTACAAAACCATGCTTTGAAAACGATGTCCTCTATTAACAGGTTTTACCTATAAGTTCAATCTTTTCTGAATTCACAAACCTTAAGAGCACTTACCTCCTCCAACCAAACAATTAATATAAACTAGATTCTGGGATTTTGACATGGACAAATTTGTGTGCAAGGCTTAATTCTATCTGAGAATTGCTCTCTCACAAAGAAGTAGCATTTATGTTTGTAAACTAGATTACATTTAGATTCTTATGTATTCATAAAATTCTACTATATTGTTTACTATATGGTCCATCCAGTCCCTTTATCCACCTCTACAATAAGTTCCTATGGCCTTTAGCCGATTGTGAAGGTTTCTGCATCTAATATTTCTGCTAATTCCAAAACACTTCAAGTAAAAACAGAACATCTCAGTGACCTGAGCTATTTCTTTCGACGTATACCAGAACATGTTTACTATATGGAAAAGTAGAAATGGAATTACATATAAATACCTCCGATAATGCCCTGTGCCTACCCTAAACTAATATTTAGTAAGCTGGGATTTCTTCTAATTTTACCAGGGAATACCAAATCCCTGGCAAACACTGAAGTGGTATGGTCATTTTGAAATGTGGTGTATCAGGGATATGGTCTGCTGAATAAGGCGATTTTTAATGATTTTAGTATAACTTGGTTCAGCTTATATCTTTGTGAGGAGAAAGTACAGAATTGAAGAATAATACAAAGACTTCTTACCTGACAACAAACCAAGTTTCTTTATCAGCAAATTATAAAAATATTTAATTACCTAGAAAAGTTAATTATATTAATATGAATTCTTCGTTGCAATAGATATGATATGATCTGATGAATTCTGAAAAGATAAATTCAGGTGCATGCTTCCTCTAATTGTTAACAGTTTTCATTCCAATAGTAGATTCTGCAAAATTGTGGCTCAGTACATATTAACACACAACCTACCCACTTTTATTGATAACCTAGTTTTTCCGTTTTTGAATTTCCCTCCCCCCCACTACCAAAAGAGAGTTTCGAATCCAAGTCTTTGACCTAGTAAGGCTTCGCTCTTACTATTTGAGCTTGGCCTTGATCTCATCGATAACCTAGTTGGAGTCTTCTAAAATAGGATGGATAGAACAAAGCTTAGACAAAGAAAAGATATTGAACTTCTAAATTTCAGCAATCTACCAAAAAACCCTACCAAAGGTTGTGCAAGGATCACTGAGACTCATCTAAGATAGTATGTCAAAATTTGACTATAAGAGTTGACAGGTGTAAAATCATTCCATGACATTCTGTATGCAGTCCCTGGTAAGATTACCAGCTTAAAGTGCACTAAGATCTATGAATCTATATAGTAAGCTAAAACAGTAATCTGAAGTTATAAGCTGCCACTTCTCTGTCTCTTTTTTAAAAAAGTTATTCCCTTCTGGACCTGCAAGACTTGAAAGCTTAAATGTGATAATGCATATGGATTAGAAGAGCATGAAAGGAAGAAATTGCACTTTATAGCTGTTGTAACATAAAATTAAGTTTTAACCTTTCACAAATTAAAACCCTTTAATTTTTCGTTTTCTTATTTAGTTTTAAGTTTTAATACAATTAAAACGTCATAATTTATATTGTAACTTATGTTTTAATAGTTTAAATGTGGGGGTTGGAATTTTACCTATAAAACGAGATGATATTTCATTGTTGGAAATAACTTGATATATAACTTAGAAATGACTCCCTATACTTTTATATCTATTATTTTGGTAATTCGATAAAGACTCGTTTTTTATCTTTCTGTGGTCGTGTTTATAAAAGGAGAATTGGCTATGAGTTATATGGATTTTATTTTGGAGACATATAGTTCGGAAAGTACCCGCATGAAAGGGAAGTTATGATGTACCGACAAGGACACGTGTGTCCTACACTGATACGTTGACTCGTGATTTTTCAAAAAAGTACGTCGCTCCCTATACTTTTATATCTATTATTTTGGTAATTCGATAAAGACTCGTTTTTTATCTTTCTGTGGTCGTGTTTATAAAAGGAGAATTGGCTATGAGTTATATGGATTTTATTTTGGAGACATATAGTTCGGAAAGTACCCGCATGAAAGGGAAGTTATGATGTACCGACAAGGACACGTGTGTCCTACACTGGTACGTTGACTCGTGATTTTTCAAAAAAGTACGTCGTCGACACGTTCATTAAATTCTTTAAAATTCTTCATTTATATAGTTGAAATATAGTTTTATACTTATTATTGATTTTTCTTGTTGAAATATTTTAAATTTAAGTACTTATTTGTTATTTACTAATAATTTTGAGTTAAAAATATATAATAGTTATAATAAGAAAGAAAAATTATTATTGTGGAGTGTACGAAAAGTGTCGGTATCGACACACTTGTCCGACACAAACACACTACCTTAGTTAGAGTGTCTGTGCTACAGAGAGGGGAAGCAACACGACTTTAAAATAGAGTTCTTGACGTGCCCTGCTAATGTTTGCTTTCTAACTCTTCTTATGTTATTGTTGAACTGAGTTTATTTTATTTATAATTGATTATCTACACATAAATCACCTGTTTTCCCCAACAATCTAAAGTCATATTCATAATATTTTGGTGATTGAGTCTGGATTGGACCATTTTGTGCATAATATTTGGGCGAGGAGAACTAATACCTGTGGCGAGAGGATGAGAAGTGAAGTCCTAGGGAATCATAATTCTACAGATAAGTTTTCTCTTCCATTCTTCGTCTGAGTGATAATTTTGGATTGATGAACATTATTAAGACAATTTTTAGCCTGGTTTGTATCAATGATGAAAAAATGTTGCATTGAATTTCTCAAATATATATGTGCATATTTCTTTAGTATCACATGGAATGACTTCCGTAAAAATTCTTATGTTGCCACCTAATGTTGGCAATTCTGGCCTCTGGGATTAAGAATGTAATGTGAATTCCTTAAACACCTTTTCAATTGTTTGATCATGGTATTCAGTCACTCTGTACCATGAGCTGGTTGATATTTACTAAGTTGTTTCACAAAGAATGCGCTTGGAATGTTTTAAAAGTCATTTGGCTGGAGCCATTATCTTATTTTGATGTATGTCCAACTATGAAGTTGTGGGAATCTGCATTTTGTCAGGACCAATTGATAACTTATAAGCAGAGGCACATTTATGTTTTGATGGAAATAAATGGTGGCCTTAGACCATAGTTGATAGATGTTGCATTATTCTTTGAAATGGTTTTCTCTTACCAAGGGCAAATGAGCTACAGATTATGATATTTTGGATTTTGTTAGCAAAAATGTTTTCTGACCTATTAAGAAAACTTAGTAACAAATACATTAGATAAATGCGTGGGTAATGCAAGTATAACCTCTTAATTTTTTGGAATTTCTTGTTATGTATTTAAGATTTCAGGTGCATTTATACATGTATGGCATAGCTAGGTGGAGCAATAAGCCATGGCAGATCACCCTGTTAAGCGTGAAAATTATGTTTTCTTGATATGTAGCAAAGAAGTTCTCTTCATCATGATGTTAGTACTTTTAGTTGCATTAACTTTATGAAATAGAAATACTTCTACGAGATATGGAACATATTATATGTGCACACATTTATCATAACAATTTATAGTTGTAAATTTTTGTTTATGAGATAGTTA